CCCAGGAACTGTGCTTTGTAGGATCTGTAGTCATGTGAGGGTTTTCCTAACAACTGTCTGAACCCTTAACAAACCACAGTTTCCAGGATACTTGGGGGGAAGCCGTGACTGTTTAAAGAGGCATTAGAGTATTTTAAATATGTGATATGAATGTGACTTGTGTGGCAGCTGAATAACTGATTGGGAGGCCAGGAGGTGTGCATTTTAGACTCAAGGGTGTACCATGGCAATAAATGTTAATAGGCTTAAGCCTTAGACAGTTCCCAATTAAAAACACATCTTTCTGATTGTAATTTTTTAAAAATAAAATAACATGGTTCCTATTTTTATACACACACACACATTTATGAATAACAGCATGTAAAAATTTTTAAAATATAAATAAATTATATATGTGCCTGTAGCCCGAGGGCTGATACAAATTTTTCAGCAAAAGGTTATTTCCAGCCACCAAGCAATTGCTGCATATTTCCCCTCAACATTAAGTTGTAAGAGTGTTCAAAACTCAAATCTCTGTTAGTATGCAAGCTCATCAGGAATAAAACAGCAAGCTAGAGAGTTTGATCTGGTGTGGTGCTGAAGGGGTCAAAAATGCTGTGTGCCGCTGCAAGCTCCCCCCCCCCCCGCCATATGGAGTCTCAGGAATGGCTTCCACATTTCAGTAGAAGCGCAAACAAAGTCAGTAAGTGAGACTGTCATTTGCTCATGCATTTGAGTTCCAAACCTTTCTTTCTCAACGGCACAGGCATTAAATATTTAGGTGGCCATATGCAAATCATTTAAATCTGTTCCTAAGAAGCACATACCACAGCAGTGCATCCCTTTGTACTCACATCTTATTGTGAAGCTTTTGTCCACCTTTTATTTTTTATTCCACAAAAGGGGAATTCATTAACAGGCACCAAAGTGTGGCAGTTCTCCCAGGCCTTTCCATGCCCACCCTGCTTGGTCTTTGTGCACACAAAGTGGAGGTGTTTAGGAGGGGACTGAAGATGAGATTTCATAAAACTGCATATCTGTGTATTTGGGGGGGGGGAGAAACCAGATCCACACACCCAGTGTTATTTTTCTAGAAAAAGAGATGCCGGAACTCACCAGGAACGCCTCCCTTGTTCTCTTATAATGGCAATGGTGCCCACCTGAGAGGTGCCAGAACTGAATTCCATCGAGTTCCAGCTGAAAAAAGCCCTACACACCTCCATCTCTCTCTTATATCAGACTGCAACCCCTTTCACTTACTTGGGAATATGTCCCACTAAACCTCAGGAAAAACCTTCCTCTTCAACCAGGCCTTTTCCAGCCTTTTAAATCTGTCTGGGGAAACGGGGAGAGGCCATTGTTTTGTTTTTAATCTTGCATTTTATTATGTGAACCGCCCTAAGATCTTATGATGAAGAGCGGCACATAAATTTAATAAATAATAATTGCCATAATAAAACGCTGCTGAGTGAAACATGCATAGGATCAGACTGCCAACCGGATACTTTGATAAGCCAAACCGCCTTCCAAAATAATTCCCCCCACCCTGGGGTTCCGAATGTTTTGTAGAACAGGATGCAAAGGGATGCAATCTCATGGGAAGTTCTCCTGCACATGCCTCTTTGAAATGTACGGAAGATGCGCACAAGCACTGCTAGGAGAGATGCACTGGCACACCTCTTAATGTTTTTCACGCAGAACATCTTCCCTAACAGATTATGCTTCTGTTCTTATTTTCTTTAATGTCACTGTGAATTTGCTTGTGGAAGTGTATGACACCATGCATGGAGCGGCCTGAACATCTGAGCTCATGCTTCAGGCATTCTCCCAGGACTGCATGTGGGGGGGGGAGCTTCCAGCCAGTGTTTATGCGCGCGCGCGCGCGCACACACACACACACACACACACACAATGTTATCATAGTGAAAAAATGTAAGAATTCCTGGAAGCAGAGGAAATCTTGTGCGCTGACCTTTCCCCGCCCCCCTTTTCCATGAGAGATCAGTCTAATAAAGGCTGATAGACACTAGCTTAATTCATTTACAAACATTTCAATTCTTGTTGCAGTCATTATCACACACCCCTATTTCCTTCAGCAATAATCTGTGTATTATTTTTTTTTAATACCACATGATCGCTTTGGCTGAGCAAAGAGCATTTGAAAGCATATGGCAGAAAGCTCCAAGGGACCTTTTTAAAATATATACATATATAAAATAGAAGCAGCTACCCCAGAGCACTCTAGTTTACATGCCCCATTTGCTTCTTACAAAACTGGGTGGGGTTTTTATTTCACTTTTATTTCTAACATAGACAAGAGCAGCATTTGAAGGGTTAAGTTGGTACACAGAGGAATGCAAAAAAAAAGAAAAGAAAAAAGCCACAGCAGCTCCATCATGCACCTCTGAGGCTCACAAGCTCCTGGTAAAATCCTCGGAACTCATTTTTCCTCCCCTTTAAAAGAATAAGTTACTAGTCCTCAAAGACTCAGAGATAAATCTGGATGGAACAAACTGAGTTTCAAAAACAAATGAAAGGAATTCAAAAATCATTATGTTAAACATTTTCAGTCCAGCAGATAAGATTTCTCAGGGGAAGGCTCAGTGTTCTTTATGCTTGAAGGTGAACAATTTAGAAAAGGAATGACACTGTGCTTGCGAAAGTCAGTGTGGCCTAGTGGTTAGAGTGCCAGACCTGGAATCAGGGTGACCTTGGGACAGTCGCTGTTTCTCATACCCACCTACCTCACAGGGTTGTTGTAAAGATGAAGTTGGGGGGATAAATCTGTACACCTGCCTTGAGCTCTTTGGAGAAAAGAAATGTAAGTAATAACTTCCAGAACTAGGAAGGTTCATTAAGTCAACCTAGTGGACAGAATAACAGATCAAGACTGGGAATCCTCCATTTCAAATGTCCGCTCAGCCATAGAGTTGACTGGATAGCCTTGGGACAGTCGTAGTTTTATTATTATTACTGTATTATTATTATTATTTATTGAATTTAGATACCACCCTATACGCAGAGGTCTCTGGGCAGTTCACAGATTTATTTTTTATTTGCCTAATCTACCTCAGAGAACTGTTGTGAGAATAAAATGAGGCGGGGGACTGTGCACACCGTGTTAAGCTACTTGGAGGAAAGGCTGAATATAAATTTAATTAGTATCGATTAAAAAAACCCTAACAATGTAAACATTAACCACATATGACAATCCAAGTAGGAGGGAGAATTTCTGCTCTCCTCCACTCAGCGGCAAGTTTAATATTGAAAATAAGCAAACTTTTCGAGTATCGCATTTTCCCAACAATTTCAGGAAATGTTATGTTCTGTTTTATGTGTAGTTTAACTCTACAAAGTACAATCTCCCAGCCATCTGGCAACACTATTCAATTAATTAATTAATTAATTAAATTTGTATACCATCCTTCATCTGAAGATTACAGGGTGATTCACAATATAGAAATACAAAATGAGAACACAAGATAAGTAACAAAAACAAACAAACAAACCAATAACCCCTCCAAAAAAACAAAACAAACAAAAAAACCCACAACCCACACATTTAAAAGGAAAGGCCATAGAATCTGAATCAACCAAAGGCTTGGTTGTAGAGAAAGTTTTTTTCCTGGCACCTAAAAATATGTAACAAAGGTGTCAGGCAAGCCTCACTTGAGAGAGCAAGCTACAAGCAGGGAAGGTTCGTTTTCCTATTGCCTCTCTCTGGGCCTCTTGTGAAGAAGGGCCTCAGAAGATAATTGCAGAGTTTGGGTTGGTTCATATAGAAAGGGGTGGTCCTTGAGGTGTTGCGATCCTGAGGCCTTTAAAGCTTTATAGGTCAAAACCAGCACTTTGAATTGGGCCCAGAAGCCAACTGGCAGCCAGTACAGTTGGGTCAGGATCAGCACAATATGCTCAAAACATCTTGCCCTGGTGAGCAGTCTGGCCGCTGAATTCTGCACTAACTGAAGTTTCTGAACAGTCTCCAGAGGCAGCCCCATGTATAACATGCTGCAGTAATCTATTTCAAAACCTATGCAAATTAGTAATCTAATTTCAAAACCTATTCAGCTTAAGCATGGCAAATGTTCACCAGTTTGTTGTGGTTCGTGCCAAACCTAACTTTTATTGGTGAGAAAACTCTTCACGCTTTTGAATTTGCAGGTTTTAGACAGAAACGTAAGTAATCTGAGGGTGGGAAAGCCTATTTCTTTAGATTCGATTTCTTTCTACCCTCTAGGTCAATTTATGGACTGCGCCAGGTGGAAGTGGATCGCGGGAAAGATCCTAAAATAAATCAATGGCACTTAAGCACACTTATCCGTAGGCTGAATTATGTCCTGAGTGTAGTTAAAGTAACTTTGATGCCAGCATGTACTCAACCTCATAAAAAACCAAAACCAAAAGGGGAAAAAAGTGGGGGAACCCCATTGATGTTACTGCTGTAATGCGGTAATGTCTACATATATTGGTTCTTAGTCTGTCAAAGTTCTTTACAAGCACAGAAGGAAAAAGCTGCCTCTGAATCTCCAGGCTTCGTTCCTGTTCCATTTCTCACACACTCCACACACTGGGAGCAAACGGTCATACATAGATTTATGCCTTGCACTTGTTAAAATGTCAAGTTTAAAAAAGCCGCCTCTTGGCTCACTAGTTAGAATTCCAATCCATAAAAATATTTCAGTTTAATTGCCCAGGTCAATCCCCTACCTTGTCTTGTAGCCTATGTTACTACTGCTGGGTGAGCCTTCAGCTATTCACCTGAGTCTTTTGGCTCCTACATTAGAACCACAAATCATATTGTGTGTGCTGTGTCTCTCCCTGTGTGTATGCACCTGTGAAGGGGTGGGTTTTGTTTTGGGGTTTGTTTGTTTTTGGAAGAAAGAGCTGGCTTGTTTAGCCTTTATAAAGAGGTTAATAGTCCCAGCCTCTCATTTTTAATCAGTGTCGTGATCACCACTTCTTGGAACTCAGCTAACCACATGGAACTGACGGCTACAAACCTCTCAAAAACAATTTTTTTTAATTTGAACAAATTTGTTTCTGTAGCTGCTTTCTCCCAAGAACTGCCTTTCATATTTGGGGTGCTGTTTTTTTCTTCTTCCAAGAGCTACTCAGTTAAAACCTATTGAATTGATCTATTTTTCTACTGAAGGACAACAACGGTAAGTGAGAAACATACGGTTTGGGGGGGGCTGGGGGGGGAGTTGTTTTGCAAATATTTGTCAGCAAATGGCAAGGGACTTGCTAAGAACATAGGAACCTGCAGTACCTTTTTATATTTTAACAGGGTGTGTAAATGGAAGTTTTCTCTCACTGACCATCTTAAAATCCCATAGGGAAAGAAGGAAAACTCTCTTAAGAGCTGTTAAGCTTCCTAGCATATACAAAAAATAAAAAATAAAAAATCCAAACTAAACTAAAATGGATAGTTTAATCTACGGCACTAATTACACAAGATACTGGAGAATGGATCTACTCCCTTTTTGTGGGATTCACAAAACTGTTTTGTGCTTGTTGTACTCCTGCCACATGTGAAAAAGGATAATTGAAAATCATTCAGATTCTTTGCTCAACAATCAGGTATATTATTTGCTTTAGGTTAAGTGTGTTCTCAAACCCTGAACACGGCCTAAATTATCTGGGGCAAGGGGATTTTAATATCTCCCAAGGAATCACACTTATTGAAGGGGACAGCCTATAAATTAGTGCTGAAGTTAAAATCAATTTCTGGATAATATGTATCCCACAAAGACAGATTGTTGGTTTGCATGAGCATTGTATCAAAACTTTAATTAAAGCCCCCTTTAAATAAAACCTGTCGTACATTATACCACTAATTGACTTGACCAGCTATGATGCCAACTCTGCAAGCCAGAGAAGGCTAAAGGAGATTATTCTGTCTGTCTCTCTCTGTCTGCTGCTTCAACAGCAGCAGCAGCAGTAGCAAATGTGTGTTAATAAAATTTATTTCTGCAGTCGTACCCAACTCCCTATTGTGTATTCAATAAATGTGTGGGCTTGAAGCCAGTCATCACAAAGCAAAAAAGTAATAAAATCTCAAAAGACACCCCTCCATACGCACACCTTCCATTCTGTCAGCTTTTTGTGGCAGAAGATACATGGGTCGTTTTGCTTTTGCACAAGCTGAGGCTGGCTTTAGTTTTCTATTAATTTTTTTAAAAAGGAAGGAGAAAGTATTTTTAAAGCAACAGTGTAAAAAACAAGAGAGCATAAAGTCAAACCTGTGCATAATCAAGCCTTCCGGTAGCAAAGACAGTGTTGCAGTTAAAGGGTGCTAGAGAGGCTAGGCAACTGTGAATGATATAGAAGGCCCATACTCCTCATCCTGAGCGTCACTGAACGACTAAGACCACTGTCCGTAGTGTGCATGTTCCAGCTTTTCAATTCAATGCACCTGTGATCAGGCCCAGTCCACCTGTGCAGCAAGATGAGGTGACCACCTCAGATGGCAGCAGATCCCAATGCCAATCTTTCTTTCTCCCCCATCCTATTTGTTCCTGATGTAAATCTTACATGTGCTAAAAGCTTAGGCATAGAGTAAGAGCCTGGCTGTGCTTATTTACTCAAAATTAAGTCTCCCAGATCTAAATGGGAGTCACCCATATGAACCTTGCCTGTACATGGGAAGCTTTTCTTCATGTCCTGAAATCAGCAGTATGGTTGGTGGGGACAGAGGGCAGAGACTTTTCTGTGGCAGCACCTTTCGTTAGGCAACTCCCTGCTTAGGGAGGCCTACCTTGCCTCTTCCTTGATTTTTTGTTTTTGTTTTGCTGCTTCCTGAATATCTTTTTTTTATTTTACATTGCTCAACAAGCCTGAGGAGCAGATCATGTTTTATATTTCCTTGATTTTGTTTGGTAAAATTTAACTGTTGTGTCTCTTTTTAAATAGCTTTGACTCTTTTTTGTCTGTGGAATGAATACTCAAAGTAGCCTACAGTAGAAAACTGAAACAATTGAGCTGAAAAGTAGGAGATACATATTTGAGTATTACTATAATTATTAATTAGATTTGTATGCCTCCTCCATTCATCCTGAAGATTGCAGGTTAGCTAACAACAGAAAGTTAGATCAATGAATATTTCCAAGTAAGTGTACAGAGGATTGCTGCCTAACCCTTACTATAACAGCACAGATTTTATATAGCATGATATTTGTTCAAGCAAATCACAGGGATCATTCTCCTTTGTTTACACATCTTTGACATAGGTTTACTCCAATGAGATGATATGATTTTTATAGACACACAACTTCACGTATTTTACAAAGTAAGATAAACTTTTTAACGAAGATAATAAGTTAGGTGGGCACAAGAATGGCCCCAGTGGTACTCCAGATATGAGTCCTGCGGGTGTATGGGTCCCCACCTTGCCATCCCATGCATAGACTGACTTCCTACCCCTTTGTCCTTTGCCGCATGCATATAAAACTATTTCCCCCATACGTCAAAATGTAGATTTTTTTTTACTGTCCACAATGCTTGCATTTAGATTCTCCATAATACTTTCATTACGGTTGAGCAGTGCCTATTGAGAGCGAGAGATGTGCAGACGCGGTGGGTTTTGCAGGGCAGGAAACAACATGAAGAGGCCGCTGCAGCCAGTGAGGCATGTGGAGGTTGCACATGCTTGGAGCAGGGCGAGCGACACCGTGAGCGTCACTGTGAGCCTGCGCCCAGACTCTCTTCCTTTTCAGGCACAGGATTGGAAGTGTTTGCAGGCCAGGCTCCAGTGGATTGAGTGGACGAGACTAAGAGTGGGTCCAATGGTCAAGATGGTGGCTTCTGCATGTGCTGTAGATAGAAGAGAGGAGCAGGTGACACTCATCAACTTGGGAAGTTAGCCCATCTGAGAGAAGGAAAATTCTGATCCTAAACCTCTACTAGTAAAGGTAAAGGGACCCCTGACTATTAGGTCCAGTTGTGTCCGACTCTGGGGTTGCGGCACTCATCTCGCTTTATTGGCCAAGGGAGGCGGCGTACAGCTTCCGGGTCATGTGGCCAGCATGATTAAGCCGCTTCTGGTGAACCAGAGCAGCGCACGGAAATGCCGTTTACCTTCCCGCCGGAGTGGTACCTATTTATCTACTTGCACTTTGACGTGCTTTCAAACTGCTAAGTTGGCAGGAGCAGGGACCGAGCAACGGGAGCTCACCCCGTCGTGGGAATTCGAACCGCCGACCTTCTGATCGGCAAGCCCTAGGCTCTGTGGTTTAACCCACAGCGCCACCCTCGTCCCTTAAACCTCCACTACCTTGCAGGATATATTGGGGAGAAGAAAAGGCTCAGGAGTAAACCTTACACAAATCTGGAGTGGAGTCCCTAAGACAGTTGGATGGCGTCTTGTACGTCTACTTCTGGCAACTCTTGCAGTCAAGCTGGTGCCAAATTTATTGCTCTGCTTTCCTTTGGACCACATTAGCAAGGCTGAGAGAGGGGGTCTTTTTTCTGGGCAGCCCAGGACCAGACACACTGCCCTGGAGAAGTTGCTTCACTGCTGCAGCAAAAACAATGCAAGAAGCAGCAGTTAGGACTTACCAGTCTCTGAAGCTACAGAGAGTGCCATGATTTTCCAGCAGTCTGACTTCACCCCTGGAGGCATACTCCATTGTCTCTTGAGACAGATGGATGCCAAGGACAACAACAATCTGTTTTAATCTTCACTGCTTAAGAAGAGGAAGGTTGCAAAAAATTAAAAAAAAGGCAAACCAGTTTCCTCTGTTAAGTAGATAGCCCAGCATATTTCCGTTTGCTTGGGAGAATTGGTTGGCCAAGTATAGGTGATTTGTTGCCAAAGAAGCCAATGATTAGAGATGCTGTTAGCAATTAATCAATAAGGTGCCCCAATATGTTTGATCCTGTTGAATTTGAGAACCTCACCCTTTTAAGCATGCATACTAAACACTCTCCATCGCTGTGATCGTACAGCTCTAAAGATCCGAGTCCACAGAAGAGAAGGATTTGCAAAACGTGGTCCAAGCAGTTGTTTTTGTCAAATAGATAGCCTAGCACATTCCCCTTTTTCTGGGAAAACGGGCCTTTCCATAACTAAAGAGTTAGCGAGGTATAGGTAATTTGTTGTCATAGCAGCTGAATGTCAGAGTGCCATTTTGAAGCAATAGCGTCAGCATACAAATTAAAACTTCCTGTTTTGCAGAGTCAAAAACCATTCATTAATTTACCTTGAAACTGATGGAACAATTTGTTTGTTCTGGGTGGGCTTTTGGGTGCTGGAACACCCTGAATCTGTGCATAAAGGCTAAATTGGATTCTGCAAACCCCCCCCCCCATCTCCTGTCTTCAACTTATCTTATGTAGAAGCTTTCGATTCTTCATAGTCATTACTGGCTTGCCCAGGAGGACTCACCTGCTTGAGTGCCTAAGGGCCGGTTCCTGTCACTCACCTCCTGGCTCAGGGCAGGGCCTGACAGGCCTCATAAGGAGTGTTGCCGCTGCTGCTGCTGCCCAGGAGGACTCAGAACAGCGCAGAGTTCTTTTAAAAATGTGGAGGACTCCCTGGTCCTGAATGGGGTAACTGTGCCCCTGAAGGACCAAGTGCGCTGCCTGGGAGTCTTTCTGGACTCACAGCTGTCCATGGAGGCACAGGTCAATTCTGTGTCCAGGGCAGCTGTTTATCAGCTCGCTGTTTACCTCCCTGCAGACTGTCTCGCCAGAGTGGTGCATGCTCTAGTTATCCCTCGCTTGGACTACTGCAATGCGCTCTGTGTGGGGCTACCTTTGAAGGTGACCCGGAAACTACAACTAATCCAGAATGCGGCAGCTAGACTGGTGACTGGGAGCGGCCACCGAGACCATATAACATCCGTCTTGAAAGATCTACACTGGCTCCCAGTACATTTCCGAACACTATTCAAAGTGTTGGTGCTGACCTTTAAAGCCCTAAACAGCCTCGGTCCTGTATACCTGAAGGAGCGTCTCCACTCCTATCGTTCTGCCTGGAGACTGAGGTCCAGCGCCGAGGGCCTTCTGGCGGTTCCCTCGCTGTGAGAAGCCAAGTTACAGGGAACCAGGCAGAGGGCCTTCTCGGTAGTGGCACCTGCCCTATCGAACGCCCTCTTACCAGATGTCAAAGAGAAAAACAACTACCAGACTTTTAGAAGACATCCAAAGGCAGCCCTTTTTAGGGAAGCTTTTAATGTTTAATAGGTTATTGTATTTTAATATTCTGTTGGAAGCCACCCAGAGTAGCTGGAGAAACCCAGCCAGATGGGCTGGGTACAAATAATAAATTATTATGAGGTGCTTTCATCTAGGGAGGCAGGTTCAGCAAGCACATAATCCCGAGAAGAGTCTAGATCACAGTTTCCCAAACTTGTGTCTCCAGCTGTTTTGGATTACAATTCCCATCATCCCTGAACACTGGGTCTGCTGGCTAGGGATGGTAGGAGTTGTAGTCCAAAAAGAACTGGTGATCCAAGTTTGGTCTAGATCCTTGTTTGGTGCTTTAGGCCCCTACACTGGTTTCTGATACTTGTCCTGCTGTTCCTAATTTATCCCAAGTCCCAGCAACTTTGTTACCTCTGCGACAAGCAATTAATTAAGAAATGTAAAATCTTCCCTGTTGTGAGTCTACCTATGTTACATCCATGAAATGGTCTGAGTAGAACAGGGTTGTAGCTAATGAAAAATTCATTGACCCCGAGGTAACAGTGAACAAAATGCAGATTTTAAATATAAGGAGCTGGTTCACAGTGTGTCCCTAGGACAGGGGGGGAAAGAGCGAAACAATTTGCTTGCCAAAACAGTGAACTGTTAAAGTGGCAGACAAAGTTTTATTCATCTGCAAGCTCAGCAGATGTGAAGGCATGAATAGACTGATTGATTTCAGAATTCTCTGGGTGAGAATGAAGATCCAATATAGCATCTTTGAAGGTCTGTGAGATAATCTTAAGTTTGGAACCAAAATATATCAGCATGATATCATTTTCTGACACAATTCCTTCTAAGTATGGATTCCCTTTTGTGTCATCTCCCCCATTTTCCTTGTTATCTTTTTTTCCGGGGGCGGGGGGGGGGGGAGAGAAGGCAATAACAAAATAACTTGCTGCTTTTAATTGCCTTCTGATTTCTCGATGGTATGTTGTTTAATGGCTTTATAGATTATCTAAAGCAATTCTATCGTAAGCCAATCTGTAGCCGGGGCTGGAGCAAAGACAGATTACAAACATTTAAAAATAAATGAATGCATAAATAAATAAATGGTCATTTCACTGAATTCTTGCTACTGGGTAGGCAAGCATTTTACTACACTATTTGTTCTGGCTTATTATTTATTTTATTTCTTTCTTTCTCTGGGTCTAAGACTTCTTGGAATAATCAATGATTTGCAATATCTCCCCCACCCCCCAAAGAGAGTAAAAGCAACTGGCAGAAGGGAACTCTTTGAAGTTGGTGAAGTTGGTCCTTTGCCAACACCCCCTCTTGGGTGGAGCCACATAGAGGAATAAGGAAGGGTGGTGGGGAAGGAAGGGAAACCTATTATAACTCCTCCCTGCTAATCTCCCACAAGTGTGCGCTCTGAGAGAGGAAATATCTGCTAAATGCCTTAGGGAGAGCAATGATCTGGACAGTGTTGCAGGAAGCAAAGTGAGAACAGGCAAAGCTAGAGGAGGACACATTTGGCGCTGTTCAGGAGGGATCCTGGGCTTACAGTATGGAAACCTTGCTGTGCAATTCTCCACACAAAACCCTTTTGTAAATTCAGCATCACTTCACGTGGTGCAGGCAGATTCAGCCAAAGAATGAATGGTTTTTTTTCTTCGTAGAACAAACTGATGATCTACGGAACTCACTGACACTGGAAGTCAACTGTCAACAAGCTTATTGAGAGGCTATTCATTTACGTGAGTGGTTTTTACCCTGCTGTTCAGCTGGAAAAAGGCTCCCGCAGAGGCTTACAGAGATCAAGGATAAGACATTCCTTGCACTTCAGCTCACAGTAAAAAAGACAGACACACAAAGGGAGGGGCTGGAGAGGGATGCAGGGAGAAAGACCAAACTCAGACACTTATAATGAACAGCTAGAATGGGGACAGTTCAAGAGGAGGAGCCAAAAGTTGTTGGTCCCTCAGAAAAAGCCGTGGCTGCTTCCTTATTTTGCCCTTTGCTGGTGCTGAAGGAATCGCTGGCCCTAGGCGGCTGAGGAAGGGACTGACTTCCCTTCTCTCCCTCTGTACAAATTGACAATTTTGAGTTAAAATTGCCAGTGTAATCCATCCATCTCAAGATAAGCACGAACGTTTTATTGCTGGAAGAAATTAACGAGAGGAAGCAGAACCCCCTTTCAGTAGCTAACTTTGGAAGGTTGGCTGGGCAGTGGAATGAATGATGGTGGCAGAGGTTGCCAATGAACCAACACCACCCTTTCACGTGAGCTGCTGCCAAATCCCACTGCTCACTCACACTCTTCCCCCCCCCCCACCGCTCAGAGTTGACAACTGTTAGGTTTTTCTGCCTTCCTTGGGCTGCTCTACCTCCTGACAGCCATTTAATTGGCTGTCATTGGCAGGACGGTTTGTTCTGGTAGCCACAGCTTCAGCTGGTAACCCATGTTAAATGGAGATGGCCCCATGTATTGGGAGCCCTGGGACTGCTGTATCTTATAAACTGCTGGACTGTTCCTGGAGGGGCTAGAAAGGACTGCGGGGTAGCAGCCTACATTTGTGGACTGCACACAGGAGCAGGGCCTCCCAGGGACGTAGCATGGGTTGCCAGTGCCTGGGGTGGGGCAGATGTTGCACCCCCTAGTGGACTGGGCAGCGGTCAGTCCCTTCCCTTGCCAGGGTGTCTCTCCTTGCAAACTAGTCCCAACCTGGGAGCAGAGATAAGGCAGAGAAACATGAATTTCCAGAGCTCCACTGTATTGTCTCACTCTCTAATCCTTGCATCGAAGCTCTCTGGGCAACACATGCAGCTCCGGCAGTACTTTCCTGCCTTCCTTCCCTCCCTCCCTCTCAGCTGACCCAGGGGTGTGCATGGGTGTCCCTTCACTGGCCACAAGAAAGAGGCACTGCGCCAGCCCCGAAGGCCTGGCCCAGGCATGGCTTGCCTCCCTTCAGCTCTGACGTCAATGAGGGAGCCTGTTATGGAGGTGCCTGGTTGCACCCTCTCAGAAATTTGTGCCCGGTGCCATGTCCCCCATGGCCCCCCACGCTACACTACTGGGACTTCCCCTTTGGTTAAGGTGTCTGAATTCCAAGGAGGAAACAGGCATACAGCAGTGCACTACCTGCAGTACAGTAAACACTGCGCAAGCATGCAGGTCCCATGTTATGGGGAGAAGGACAAAAGTGACCAGAATCTGGACGCTGTGTCCCAAGCACCAGTTCTTCACCATGAAGCCTTTTGGCTTTGCTTTGCTCAGCTTGAGCAGCACAAGAAAGACTTGTCCAACAGTTATGCAACATCATGATGAACAGCTATGCTAAACCCTCCAGAATTATTCTGCATTGGGCTCTCTGTTAGCAATGTGATTTGCATCTATACATAAACATCTAATGTTCCTTTCTTTGCTGTTGTCTGCTCTGTTGCATCTCAGCCACATAATGTACTAACACTTTGCCCCTAGCCAAGGCAAATAAAGACAAAACTATGCGTCTTTAGCATATTTCCATTTTAACTGTTGATTTCAATATTTCCAGGGGGAGGCTCAGAAAGATATGCAACAGAATGAGAAAGCAGATCCTTGAAGAAGAAGAAGAAGAAAAAGACAAAAGTGGAAGCATTTTTGTGATGTAGAAAAATTGCTACAGATCATGTTACAGTTCGCTCTAATGTTGATACATATTTTATAAATCAGAGAGTGCAATTACAGCTGTGTCCTGGATGGTTAGATTCCCACACAGCACCTACATATTTCCAGATTTTTGTAGAGATCTTGTTGATTTATTCATAGTTGTATACAGGGATTAGATTTGTGGTAAAGTAAGCAGACCACTGACCTATGGATGACATATGACAGAAAGGCCTCTCTTGTTTTGGACCAATTCTGATGGCCTTCAGGTTGAGGGCAATAGTGCCTTACAGGCAGAGCAGGGCAGTGTCCTGTGCCATGTACCTCATGTGCCATGGCAAGGCAGGAGCAACAGGGCCCAAGACTGGATCTAGACGCGTAAAAAAAATGTTTTAGGAAAACACATTGTAAACCTCAAAATGGGAAACTGTGTTGCCAAAAGACAGGTCTCCACAGCACCATCTGGTGTCACAGTGTTATAACGCATTTAAAACACTTTTTCTTTACTAATGTAGTTGAGTCAGTCCACAGATAGAGAGAGCAAATTGCTCCCACAAAGTTTGGGAGCAGACAGAGACAGTGTACACAATGTACATTAAAGGCACATGGCTTCCCCCAAGGAAACTTCAGAACTGTGATTTGCCCTCCCCCCTCAAGAGCTGCAATTCCCAGCAGGCTTAATAAACTACAGTTCCCAGAATTCTTTGAGTGAAAATAACTTCTGGATAACTTTAGATTCCTAAAGGGCCAGCCTTTTGGCCTGAGGGCAGGCACTCCTTCTCTTCTTCATAGCCTCTCATCTGTTGTGCTCCTTTAGCTGCTGACCCCCTGAGGTGGGGTGTTTGGTTCCTCAGGTAAAGGTACCCATGAGGGAGCTGGTTCTGGCCCCATAGCCCTTGGTGGTTTGGGAGGTTGTTCTGGGGCTCCTCTCCATCTCAGGTTCCCAGTCTCCAGCAGCAGGCTCTGAGTCTTGGTTGCCTCTGGACTCTTGGCTCATGACAGGCAGAGCTTGGATTCACACAAGCACCAGCACAACCCAAACAATGCAACCTGGATTCTGAATGAAGTGCACAATCTAGGCACACCTGCATGTCTGTTTATTTTGCATAATTTATCAGGGGGTAAGACATTTAAGCAGTGCCCCACTTGGTGACCATGGAAGCCCAGCTCTGTTCCTGTTTTGCTTTCTCAGCCATTCCCACCTGCATGAGCCTAAGACTACAGAAAGGCATCCAAGGACTAGTTCACATGTGCATATTCACTGCATGATGACTGTATTAATGGCATGCTTGTGTGAAGCAACAACCATCTAGCTACAGGCAAAACTTCCTGTTGCCCCATTAAACTAAGCTGCTCAACTGAGACAGTTCACACAATTTGCAAGTGTGAACTGACCCTCACAGAGCTTAACTGGGCAGTCAGATGTGACAGCAAAGACATAGAAAGAACACAAACTTCTTATGGGTTTTGGGAAAAGCTGGAATTAAGGTGTGAAGGCCAAGGCCAGAGGAAACCCATACCCGCCATCATTTCTCCGATGAAAATAGGGACATCCCAACATTTCTGATGAAAATTGGGGTGCCATACCCTCCGGCATTTCTCCAGTGTAAATATGGACATCCTAAGGAAGAGCATGACATTTCAGGATCAAATCAGATGGCTTCTGTAAATCCGGGACTGTCCCTGGGAAAAAGCGAGACTTGGAGGTCCTAGAAACCTAGACATTTCACAGCCGTGGCATGACTTCTAAAAGCAAAAACCTTCCAGTATAATATAATATTCCAGTGATAATATTGTTTTGGTGGGCTATTAAAACTATTTGCCTTCCTTTTTGAAAGGCTGATGCAAACTGAGTGGAAGGCACCTGAGAATTCTGCCCACGGACCTGTACCTGAATAACATGCAAAATCTCTTCTTATGATTCATGTAATCACTTCTGCAGAGCAAATGGCAAATCTTACAATTGCACTACTCTGCTTTGATGTTTTTGTTATTTATTTAAGGCGGAATTACCCATTAGGGAATTCCTGATTCGAGTATTCCCCCAATATGAATGCCTAGTTTCTTATAACCTGAAAAGAGAGAAATTAATAGCATGATCCCTCACTGATTAAATATGCTAGTTTACATTCAAGAAAGCACGCTGCTTGGAGGAAAGCAAGAACACTTGCATTTCTAAGTTCTCCAAGAGAAAAGACAGCCAAGTTTAGAAAGCATACTTCACAGCCTTTCATGTATCTGGGAAAAGAGGCTGAAGAGGCCACAGCTATATAGTGCATCCCAGAAACCCAACACTGACAGTTCAATATTACTCAAAAGTACCGTAAGTGCCACCAAGTTCAACAGGATAAATGCATACAGAACTGCGGCTTTGTAAAGGAGCACAGATATACCTTTCAACCACATTAAACTTCTAACAGTTACACAGCAGCTGTGTCATGTCACAGGCATGTTCAGAAAACAGGTACAGTGGCACCTCGGGTTACATACGCTTCAGGTTACATACGCTTCAGGTTACAGACTCCGCTAACCCAGAAATATTACCTCGGGTTAAGAACGTTGCCTCAGGATGAGAACAGAAATTGCACGGCAGCGGGAGCCCCATTAGCTAAAGTGGTGCTTCAGGTTAAGAACAGTTTCAGGTTAAGAATGGACCTCTGGAACGAATTAAGTACTTAACCTGAGGTACCACTGTATACTTATTATTGTTTTATTATTATTTATTTCATTTCTATAGCACTTTATATTTTAAAGAAAAATCTCAAAGCGGTTTACAGCATAATAAAACATCAATAAAACAATCCAGAATCAAACATTTTGGAAGAAAGTCAAATATATATGGTCAAAGCAACATAATTAACAGAAGACTGAAATATTATCTTAAAAGATTTCAAAGTAAAACATTACAAAGGAGGCCAACTACAGAATACATATTTAACACAAACAAAGGTAACGAAAATAAAATAAAATCTTAAACATTTCCAAAAAACAACAACCCATTGCTAAGTGAAGTCAAATATAAAATGCACATTTAAAACGGCATAATTAACGAGAATACAGTGGTACCTCTGGATACGAACGGGATCCGTTCCGGATCCCTGTACGCATCCTGAAGCGAATGCAACCGGCGTCTGTGCATGCGTGGGTCATGGCAACCCGAAAGCACTCAACCTGAAGCATATTTAACCCGAGGTATGACTGTAAAATATTATCATAAGCATGACACGGCTGTTTGGCAGGCACAAAAAGATGGGGCGAAAGAATCCAAGGGCCACACATCTCTAGAAAGTGATGGGAGAGCTTTAGGTGTCTCGCCATCTCTGAAGCATGTTCAGCGAGTTCTACAGAGTTCATTGAGATTTACTTAAGTAAGCTTAAAGTTTCAATCTAAAAGTTTTTCTTAGCTAGTTTGGTGTCCCCCATTATAGTCATTGGCAAGGGTTTCCTCACAACTATTGGAGACTTTAAGTAGAGACTTGATAAGGAGTTTAATTGCTCCTCTGTTCCTCATTCTTACTGCCTTTTCCCTTTCTCACCCTTGGCTGCTACCTGGCTGTGAAGGAACTGGGATGAGAGAAGACAATGGACAGCCTCCTCCCCTCTTGTCCCTTTCCCTTTAGTTTTCTGGAAGTTTCTGCACTTGTTCTGCTTGTTCCTGTCCCCTGGAGATCTTGTACAGGGACACCATGACCCACTGGGTTCAGTTAAATTAAAAGGCCAGGAACAGTTGAATAATTATTTCATTGTATGGAAGCGAGGTTCTTTGATGATGACTCAGAACCCTTATTACATCTGTGCGATGTCAGCCCATGGAAATGCATGCTCTTATATAACTTTTTTTTAAAAAATGAACCATTTCAAAAAATAAAAATAGCATCTCATTTGAAACTGCACAGGCAAGCTGCTCTCATCTTCGGATTGTCCCCCCTCCCCCCGCCTGTTTTCCCTTGTTTTCAGAAGCCTAATGTCACAGGTCCATCAAAAAACCACTGCCTGGCTCAAGGACATTGGGGATGTATGCCCTAATTAATTGATTTTATAAGCATAAATGGAGAGAACGAATGTACCGCATAATATATTTGCAGGAGCCTACACAGCTGAGCCCTAAACTGCTGTTTTGCTTTGCTTTTGGGATAAAAAAATCTTGCTGATGGAAATTTCTAGATGGGCAAGCCATCGTTTCCTCCACCTCGATGCAAACTCTCCTGTAGATTTCAGTATGTCTCCTCTAAGAGCAAACCTGTTCCAGGCATATTTAGGGATTTTATTCATCAGCAGTCAAAGAACCGAGCTTCTGGGGGTTTCTGCCACCCCCAGGAAGATAAAATCAAAAGGTGCTCCAGCTAGTTAATTAAAATGTTTCAGAATCTTTCACCTGCGGTGTCAAACTGTTTTATTGAGTGAAGCATTGTTAAGTGTGACAAAGCAAGGGCTGCTGCTGCTGCTGTGCTTTGCCACAGACATGGCTGCTTTATAGAAGCGTATCAGAGAGCTCCTTAAACCCCAGGGTCTAATCAGGAGGGCAGAACAGGCTCACTGTTGGGTTAAGGACCCAAGTGTAGGAAGCACCATCTTCCCATGGATTTCAAGAGTTCAGAGCTTTGCAAGAAAGAGAGTGAGTGGGGGATTTTTGCAATACTGACTGGGTTTGCCCCACATGCTTCCTCTGACCTAGAGTTCAGTAGCACTGGGAATTATAAAATCAAATCCCCAGGATCCTTCCTGTGTGGTCTCCTCCCCTTCTTCACTCTTCACTTTCAACAACAGTAGGCGGGAGCTAGAAAGATCTTTGTACACTCCTCTCTCCCCCCAAAAAGAATTGCATACCCTCCAACATTTCTCTGATGAAAGTAGGGACATCCTATTCAGTAACAACAACAACAACAACAACAACAACAACAACATTATTTATGCCTGGGTTGCCCCTGACTGGGTTGCTCCAGCCACTCTGGATGGCTTCCAGCAGATATAAAAACTTAATAAAACATTAAAACTTTTTTTAAAAAAAACTTTCCCTATACAGGGCTGCCTTCAGATGTCTTCTAAAGGTTCTATACTTACTTATTTCCTTGGCTCAGGTGTTGCTTAATTTCATACCCTCAAATATTTCTCTGATGAAAATGGGGACAACCTAAGGAAGAGTGCGACATTCTGGGATCAAATCAGAAACCGGGATGGCTACTATAAATCTGGGACTGTCCCTGGAAAATAGGGACACTTGGAGCGTCTGGAATTGGTATACACAAAGTATTTCTAGCAGGTTGAACACCACAACCCCGGAAGTGAGTGTTCCAGTTTGCAAATGTTTTTTGGAAGCTGAATGTCTGTTGCAGCTTCTGCAGCTTCTGATTGAGTGCAGGAAGCTCCTGTAGCCAATCAGAAGCCGTGCCTTGGACTTCAAATGTTTTCGGAAGTTGAACGGACTTCTGGAACGGATTCCGTTTGAGAACCAAGGTACAACTGTAGATAGAGGTAAGAGTTTGTTCACCCATCCTGGCTTTATCACTGAGCACCGTAGGTCATCCCAAACAGGGAAGTCTTGATTGGATCATTGTTCTGAGTGAAGACAACACTCAACTGGTGGGCCCTCTGGAAAAACGCTTGCAAACAACTATTTTAAACAGCCCCTCTCACTAGGAGGACATCCATCCATTTATTATTTATATTCTACCTTTTTATGTTTAGGTACCCAAGGTGGCTAATAGCGAGACAGCACTTTCTTTAAAGTGCCCCATGTGTTTTGGATTAGAAGATCTCAGTTATTTTGCTTTCTTTCTTTTTTTTGTAAAAAGGACATATTTTAGAAAAGGTCAGAGGTGCCCTAAACTTCCACTGTGGAAAGAACTTTCCCTACTTCATCTCCTTTTGCTTCTCTCCACATTCTAGCACTTCTCTGAATATTTATCTTATGATGTGAATGCAGCTTTCTTATATTTTTCTTTTGATCAGCTGCATTTCAAGTCCTCCTGTTTACCGGGAATACCTGTGCCTCCGCCCTCCTGTCACTGGAGCTTTGTGGAAGCGTTTTTTTCATGCCATCCCTGAGGAATCTGGGAGCACCCTGGGGAGAAAGGGAAGAAAGAGACCCGGAAAGAAAGGAAGTTGGCAAGCCAGATGTGCACCAGAGAACTTCTAATCTCATTGGACCTACAGGCTTTCTTTTCTTTTCACATGACTGTGTGTAAAAGTCTCTAAGCATTTCAAAAAGAAACGATTCATCCAGTCCTTGTCCCTTTTTAATAATCTGAGTGCACAAATGATACCGCAAAAGCATACCATGCACATTGTCAAGGGAATTATACACAGGCCCTGAAAACTATCAATCCCTGTAAGCAGTCAACTTGTTTGCAAATGCAGAATGGTTTGATCTTTAAAAAACAAACAGCAGCATGACCTTAACTTCCTGGGGTGCTGCTTTCACCTGTTGGGTCTCTGGTCACCACCAGCAGTTGGTGCATTGCAGCTTGGGAAAGAGATGTGCCCTTCTACCCTGAAAGGGTCAACCTACTACTGTCCTTAACACTTTAGCACTTCTCGCCCAGTGGTCATCCTGAAAAGTGGGTTTCCCTAGGAGTAAGAGAACGTGGGTACTTTTTAAAAAGCAAATTTCCAGTAGCTTCCTCGTTTTTGTAAAGGCAGGCTCCTAAATCCCACACACAAAAGCTTGGAAATATCTGAACAATTGTTGGAAAAAGGCTCCCAAGCAAAACACATTGAAACACTTACTAGTTAGGACCAGTGCTTTCTTTTTTTCCTCTCCCCACCCCCCTTTTGTGCATTAGCTCTAGAATTACCACAGTTATCCAAGGAACGGTGGGAGCGACCAAAGGAGCCATAACTGATTTAATGAGCCATTCGCAGTTTCGCTGTAACACCCATGTGTACTTAGACATGCATGGCTTAATCTTTCAGACAAGCATATGCTACTGGCAGAATCAACCAGCTAGCCGCCCTGGATCCTCGCTGGTGGGGGACGGGTCGTGGTGGTCGGTTTGGCCGTGCCGCACCCCGGGGCTGGCCCCTTGGCTGGGACCCCGCAGGCTGGTGGGTGGGCGAGAGAGGAGCCGCTCTGGTTCCCTGCGCGGGGAGCAGCCAAGGGGGCCCGCGACACGCTGGGATGGCTAGCTGGGAGAACGACAACAACAATGCAGCTGGGGGAGCGAAAGAAGGATGCACCCACGGAGACAGGCGGGCGCCGGGAGGACACAGACGCTGAGGGGACAGCGGGTGCACGGCAGCCATGCAATCGTCTCCGGCTCGGTGGGCCCCTGGACCCCACCCCGACGGCGGCGGGCGAGGGGAAGCTGTCGGCACGGCACGGCCATGTGCAGACAGGGCGGGATGCGCCGCCGCCTGGGAGCGGGTGCCGCGCCTAGATCGGGTCGCTACAGAGGGCGCTGGAACGCTGGACTGACGGGGGGAAGGGGAGGCGTCCGCTCCACCTGAGCACCGGTCAGCAGGCCGGTCCGTGGAGGGCCCTCCCCGATGCGACCGTCGCTGTGGGTGGCGACACCAGTGCTTTTTTTTCTAAAGAAATGTTTTGGGGTACTCTCATTTTCCTACTCATATTGAAATGCTGCCCCTCAATGAGGTCAAACTTAGATTCACAAAATGTTTAGGGGTATGTGTACACCCACATCCCCCCAGAATAAAAAGCACTGTTTAGGACCATAGTGTAGTGCTCAGATGACTGGTTCGCTATGTGCACATTTAGTCTTCAAATCAGCTGAAGAAGCAGAAATGTGAACAGTTCATATTTGGCAGTAATGTGTTTCCACCTAGACCTGTGCTGACTCTCCCACAAGACAGAATGAACAGCTGCACATCTGCTGAAAATGTCCTTGTGATTAGTTACTCGGTCTTTAGTGGCAGGGATTCCAAGGCCGAGACAGGAACTGAATCTCCTGTGGCTGAAACCTAGCCAAGGGAGCTACCTTGAGCCCACACAGAAAGCACAGCACTGTCTGATACACCTGGAGAGAGCCATTGTGGTGTAGCAGCCACTGTGCTAGAGTAGGAACAGGGAAATGCAGGTTCAGATCCCCTTTCAGCCAGGAAGCTTAATGCACCAGTCATCAGGTCTCTGCTTAATGTGTCTTGCAGGGTTTTTGCGATGAAAAAATGAGGGAGAAGGGAGACTGTGCATGCTGGCTTAATGTCAGAAGCAGGCTGGCAGTAAATCACATTGTGCAAGTTGGAGTTAACTCTTTATTAGCAAAAACATGATCTGCCTGGACCTGGTGCAGTATCAGGCCTAACAATACTCCCCAGGTGTTTTTTAAGCAGTCGGGAGACTGTGCCTGCTTGCCTGTCTTTGCTCCTCCCGTTTATTGCCTCTCCTGGTTCTGGGAGACCAGGGGGAACGGCAGGTTGTTGCAGCAGGATGGGGAGACAACCATGACTCTTTACCAGCTGGACTCATATCTGCTTCTTGGCCTCCCTCATTCCATGCTTCTGCTTCAGCTTCTGCCCCTGATTCTGGACTTCTCTCTGTCACAGATTCTCCCAGCTCACTAAACCCTGCTACCTCTTCAGCTTCCAACACCTCTTCTTCTCCCTCTGGCCACTCACCGTTGTCCCATTCCCCACCCCACCCCGGCTCTGAGCCCTCTTCCCCTGGTGGTTCCCCAACTGTTTCATCCCACTAATCATATGTGCCCAACCAGTCCATGACACCTAAGTTCCTTGGAGCAAGGACAGGATAAAAATGTAAACAAACAAACAAACAAACAAACAAACAAACAAACGCCAACTGTTGGGATTGCACAGGTGCTTCTATAGGCCAGGTCTGCTATGGATATACTAAGAGCCCAGCTTTCTGCACTTGCCTGGCTTATAGCACTTCTGCCTGCTGCATTTTAGTTTTCAGTAAGTCCATCAATTAAAATTAAATTGAACAGCAGTTTGGTCAGCAAAGGGCCAATAAAAGGTAAAGGGACCCCTGACCATTAGGTCCAGTCGTGACCAACTCTGGGGTTGCAGCGCTCATCTCGCTTTATTGGCCGAGGGAGCCGGCGTACAGCTTCTGGGTCATGTGGCCAGCATGACTAAGCCGCTTCTGGCAAACCAGAGCAGCGCACGGAAACGCCGTTTACCTTCCCGCCAGAGCGGTGCCTATTTATCTACTTACACTTTGACGTGCTTTCGAACTGCTAGGTTGGCAAGAGCCAAAGGGCCAATAGTATACTGCTAAAATCCAGCATAGAAAGGACAGAACAGAAGGATGCACTGCATAGATTCTTGCCCTTAAGGAAGGAGGGGTGCCGCCAGTATACCTGTCCCAAAGCACTTGGGTTGGAAGAACATTAAATGTGACCAGGAGGGAAAAAAGGACACTCCACAAATCACTCCTTTCAACTAGTGATTTCAAGAACTCTGGGCCGAAGAACACATATTCAAGGTTGAGATTTGGGCATAGTCACTCACAGGCCCAGCCGCAAAACCCACCCTGAGTTGGAATCAATATTCATCAATCAAACCCTCCCCTCCCCCGCAAAGGAGACAGTGTAAGTAAAAGTATGTGACAAAGGAGTTAAATATAGAGAGCCAGTGCCCCTCTTTATATAGTGAGCTGAAGTATATGCCCACAAATAATTTACAGTCTGGAATGAGGCAGACCCGTAAATCGTCAATTTTAAAAATAAGCACACTAAGGAGAACACAAGAAGCATATGCTAAGCAATGACTGACTGACTGACAGCCGCCATAACGGATTGTCAGGTTTAGAGAGCTGGCTTGCTAATTGGCTGACATAATGAGGTAGATGCCTGGCACTCCCAGAGAGAACAATTGTGCACTCTTCCATCAATCTTCCTCCAGACATCTTGGCATTCAAAATACGGCAAAACCACTTAACTACAATTTTTTAAACAGGCATGGGTAAAGATATCTGTACATGTGTTAAATCCAAGGCAAGGAATTGCTATGTTGGAAGATATGAATGTACACTTCCACAACAGCAATGAAACCACAGGTTGTCAGTACTTCAGGATGCCCACTGTATACCAGGTAATTAACTGAGGAGGTACTAAGTCCAACTGAGGACCAAATTTTGAATTTTAATTATCTGGCACTTGCTCCCTTCTTTCCAAATTCACTCTGAATTAGAATTCTGTCTCTCTGCCAGTTTCTAACAGTGCTTGAAGTGTGAAAGGGTATGGCAAAGTTGCTAAGTTAGCTTTCCCGCTGCAGAGATAGCCCAAGACTTGCACTATTCTTGGGCTACTGCGTGCTTCAGGAGAGTCTCTCCAAGTCCTTACCCTGCTGCAACTTGGAGGAAGCTTCTCAGTGTGGCTGCCCCTGTTCTGTGCAACAGCATCTCTGTTGAGATACGACAGCCACTCACTATTTGCAGTTGAAGACACGTTTTTTTCAACAAGCTTTTCCATGTTGATTGGGAGTGGTTGGGGTAGGATTTAGGTCTCTGAGCTGGGTGTTTTGCTTTGTTTTGTTTTAAAACCTGTCTTTGGCTGTATTATGCATTGTTTCTAAACCTATTTTTAGTCATTTTCATTGTTTGCTTGTAAATCACCTTGAAATTTATATGGAAGGTGATCCATGAATCAATACAACAACAACAGCACAACCCCCTCTGTGCCGTAACCATATTATGCCACAGGACCACTTATCCACCTAAGAATGATGTCTTGGCCCCAAAGTGCAGCAGACCCACAAGCATGATGGTGATATCCTTTCTTCTGTTGTTAGTTCTCATCACCTGACAGTCAAAAGTCTATTATCTCTAGGCATGGAAGTAGTGCATTTTATATGCCTGATAACTTCTTGGAACATTCTGTGAACCATTTATTTTAAAGACAATCATGAGTGTCCTATATAACAGCAATGTATTCCAAAAGTCTGTTGTGCACAGTATGAAGTATATACTTTCTTCAGCTTGTCTTGAACCTGTAATTTGTCAACAGATGATTTAGTTTTTGCATTCTGAGAGACCGTGAAGATTTCTCCCCAGTTCATTCCCTCCATCTGGCTCCATATCATGTGCTCTTAGGACACATAATATACATCTATTGTTATGGTCGTATCTCTCTCTTATTCTACCCTCCTCTGCTCAATTCTTGCTGCTTCTAAGGAAGGTATGATGCTGCAATCCACAGCTGGATTATTGGACAATTTGGTTTTGTGTTATTTATTAAGTTGAACATTTCTCTCTCGGTGTTGATTATACGACCCGTTATCAGGAGAATTATTTTTTTAGCTACTGACATTTCCTTTGTTGCCAGTCCAAGCCTTCCTCTCTCTTGCTACACTGACAAATCACCAAGCACCCTTCCACTGTGAATTATTCCCAAGAAATTGCGTATTAACTGCTACCTCCCTGCTAGGACACCACAGTGAAAGGGAACAGTGTATTGACCAAACATCCATCGGAATGTACTGTTTTTGATTCTTTCCACATGTTGTGTTCCATGACAAACACGCAGGCCATGCATCCCTTAACAGACACTTAACAGACATTGATTTCTGAAGTGTGATGTGTGTCCCATGCTGGGGCTCAGGGCACGTAGTACATGGTGAATGATAAAATCATTTCCAAAATATACCAAATAAAATATTTCTTAATATCAGCCATCAAATCTTAGATGGAACATAGCTTATGGGAGATGCTCAGACTGGGGCTTGGCAACCACCCATTATTCTGTGGCATTTTCACTGACCTTGCAGCTCAGATTATATATATATATATATATATATATATATATATATATATATATGAAAAGCCATGCTGGATCAGACCAATAGCCCAGAGCATCCTGTATCCTACAGTGTCCAACCAGATGACTATGGGAAACCCAGCAGGACATGAGTCCAACAACCATTTCCTGATATTCTTCCTTGGTGGCTGGCATTCACAGAATCATAGAACTGAAGAGTTGGAAGGGAACATGAGGGTCATCTAATCCAACCCCTAACCATGCAGGAGTCTTTTGACCAACATGGGGCTCGAACCCACAACCATGAGATTAAGAGTCTCACACTCTAGCAGCTATGCTATGGTCATAGCTGTCAACTTACAAATTTGAAAATAAGGGACCATCAGCCTTGAAAATAAGGGATCAGCAGCCAAAATAAGGAATTTTCAGAGCACAGGTATGTTCAACTTCTGAGCCCCTCCGAGCCAAAGGCAGAAAGCCCAGCCAACAGCCAAACGAAGCCTCAAGCGGTGGTTCCCACAGCACAGCAACCTGGCAAAGGGGATGCAGCAAGGAAAAGCACTGTCACCTCTCGGCTGGGAAGCGCTGAGCAAAGGCGAGTCCCCAGGCAATGCGGCCGATTTGATCGGCACAAGGCATGCAAGCTCCACCCCCCAGTCGTTCTTAGACTCCTTATTGGGTGAGCAACGCAGCCAAGCAACACAGTTGGAGCTTCCCTCCTCCCTGGCTGGCAGGGAGGGAGGGAGAGGAGCTGCTTCCTTTGAAACCTGGGAAATTTAAGGGACATCATCAATAAGGGACAGCAGCGGGACACAGCGCTGGGATAAGGGACTTTCCCGCCAAATAAGGGATGGTTGACAGCTATGGCTATGCTGCTGATCTTGGAATTAATATACAGTGGTACCTCAGGTTAAGTACTTACCATATTTTTTGCACCATAACACTCACTTTTTTCCTCCTAGAAAGTAAGGGGAAATGTCTGTGCGTGTTATGGAGGGAATGCCTACGGGTGGCATGCCTACGGATTTTCCTCCTCTAAAAACTACGTGCGTGTTATGGTCGGGTGCGTGTTATAGAGCGAAAAATATGGTAATTCGTTCTGGAGGTCTGTACTTAACCTGAAACTGTTCTTAACCTGAAGCACCACTTTAGCTAATGGGGCCTCCTGCTGCCGCCACGCCGCCGGAGCACAATTTCTGTTCTCATCCTGAAGCAAAGTTCTTAACCTGAAGCACTATTCCTGGGTTAGGGGAGTCTGTAACCTGAAGTGTATGTAACCTGAAGCATCTCCAACCCAAGGTACCACTGTACAGCCAACACCACGACTAGGAAGCCATTGATAGCCTTATCCTCCAATAATTTGTCTAATCCCTCATTAAACTGGTGACCATCACTGTCCTGTGGAGGCAATTTCCATAGTTTAACATTTCCATGGTTTAACATTGTTTAAATATAATACATCATGAGTACGGCTACGGTTGTACTCAACAGATAATGGTGTTAATAACCTTATTGGGTCAGTCCAAAAGTCCCATCTAGTCCAACATTTTGTTTCCCATCAGATAAATGTGTCTGGGAACTCGTAAGCAAAGCATGAAGGTGATGGTCTTCATCTTCAGCAATTGGTATTCATAAGTACACTACCTTGTACATTATGGTTAGTAGCCAGTGCTAACTTACCTATCCTCCATAAGATTTTGAACATTTTTTTTTTAAAGCTATCTCGGTATCCACATTTGTAGTGAATTTTGCAAGCTAGTTTGCATTGTGTGTAGAGGTATACTTTCTTTTGTCTGTGTATACTGAAAATCAGCTTCATTAGGTGATCTCAATAGGGTCTCAATAGGACACAGGGGAGGGAGGATATTGAGGGAATCTCAGTCTTTATAGATCTCTCTCTCTCTATGTCCTGTCATAATTGTGCCTCCTTTTTCCTTTGTTCGTACCTTAAGCGGGCCATCTTTCATGGTAAGCTGCAGTAGAGATTTTGCATTCAAAGATTTGCCAAGCCCCATAAAATGCCTCTTTGGGAAGCACTGAAGGATGCTTCTGTCTGAATTAAAGTGCTAACAGGAAGTGGAGTTTCAACATACAATTCATTCAGCCAGATTTATTGTTATTATTAGATATTTCAGGTGCATTTGAGACAAACGCTAGGGATGGAGCAGTCCTGATATTTTGCCAAGGCAAAATTACAGCCCTGCAGGTGGAAGAAGAGGGTGGATGATGAGACCGGTGAAGGAATGACATAGGATGTGTCTAGGACTGGCCCTGCTTTTGAATCACACATACCTGTATCAGGCAGCAGATCTGAAGCAGCAGCAGTGAGTCATCCCCTGTCTGCCTGCCCAAGCCCCCACTGGGAAGCCAAAACAACCATGCCTCCTGTCAGCTGCTGCCATGCTGCTTGGCTGGGGACTTTGGCAAAGCTTGCAAGTCTTGCAGCAGCTTCTCTACAACACTGCAGTCACAACATGATCCTGCCTCATATGGGGTCATAAAATGTCTTGGGCTGGTAACAGCTTCATCTTCACAAAGGCTGCAATCCTATATACACTTTCCTTGGAGGTAACAGGGCTTAGTGAGCTGGGAGAGTCTGTGGTGGGGAGAAGTCCAGAATCAGAGGCAGAAGCTGAAGCAGGAGAGGAGGGACGCCAAGAGACAGAGATGAGTTAAGCTGGTGTCTCCACTTGGTGCTGTGGCAATCTCCCTTGCCCCTGGTCTCCCAGAACCAGGAGAGGCATGAAACGGGAGGAACAAGACAGGCACACAGACACAGTATCTGATTGCTTGGGGAAAGCCCTGGAGAGGAGGGGACTTGGATGGACAGCTGTGGGGAGGCAGGGACTTTCAACCTTAGCAACTGATTCACGGGGTAAGACCTATCAGGGAGGATCTGCTGTGACACTTAGCCAAGACTATGAAGAACATGCTTTTGCTAATAAAACTTTGAAAGGTGTGATTTACTGCTGGCTTGCTCTTTGACGGATTATTACATAGAAACTGTATTATTGAGGCATGTGTATTTTGCCATTTAATTCCCAGTCTGTTTATACCCATGTTAAAAATGCAAATTGAAAGCATTGATTATCAATATTGTTTATAAGTTTAAGGAATGCATTAGGTTGAAAGGCAAATAACAGAAGTCTCAGCTCCAACACAGACTGACACGGACTGAAACTGTGCTGGAGAGCACTAGTTCCTCCACTGATGAGGACTGAACAATGGCGGTGTGCAAAAAGAGAAAGAGGTGTATCATATTCCTGTGTGATATTTCTAATCAAATTCCATTTTAAGATGGGATGCCTTTTACTGGGCTTAAGGTCATTTCAGTTACAGTAGCATTAAGGTTTTTCAATAAAACATTTTAAATGCCTGTTATATAACTGCTTTTAAAACATTTAACAGCCACATTGGTTACATGACCTGGGACAAAGGATATTTTCTCAGCACATTGATATATGGTATACAGAATACCCATATGGGAACATTACAGAATGGCCTCAGGTCATCCTGTAATGTGCAGTACAGGATTTATTTTCTGTACCAAAACAATGATTGTTAATGAATCCAGAGGCAGCGAAAGTTCAATGACATGGCAAAAGACAGAGATGATAGATTGATTAAGGCCAAAAGAAACCAGCTAACGTAGCAATTGGCAGGAAGGGGAATTAAACAGCCCCAGCGTATGTTAGGCACTGACTGACAGCCCAGCCAAAACTGTGCTTGTTTTTAGCCAAAAATTTTCAGAGCTGTCCATGCAAAACTTCTAAGGGCAGGACAGTGACTGCTCAAAACCTTTAGTTACTGCACAGTGACCTGCTCCCTAATTAAGGTAAGTCACCATGATCATTTGACACCAGCTACAATGTTAGTGGACAGTTGCAACTTTTGACAATATACCAGAAGAAGGACCTGTCCTAGCACCAACACCAACATGTGGTCAAAGTGAGGGCGATTCGGTGGACAGAGTGCCAGACTTGAACTATGGAGAGCTGGCTTCCAATACTCACTCAGATACAAAGCTTGTAGGCGAAGTCGTCATCTCTCAGCCTAATGTCTCACAAGGTTGTTAAAAAAGTGGTGGTGCAAACAGGAAGATCCATGCCAGCTGTTCTGATTCAAATCAGGCATGCAGGCAGAGGAGATCTTGTGCCAATGCCCCCACCTCAGTGTAGTAGGTGAACCATGTTTGGTGGGACGTACCATTAAAGGTGTCAGTGGGGTGTGTGTGTGTGTGTGTCACTCACTGCACCCTAGCACAGCCTCTCAGAGGTCCAAATCCAGAGCACTGTCAGCATTGTTGCAAGGGATGAGGTGTTGAAATACACAGCTCAGATCAAGAGATGTACTCTGTTGGCTTTCAGACTGGCCATGATTATTATTGACCTTTTTCAGGTCTATGTTTACAAATGACATTTAACACAAACCAGTGTTAAATAGTTACCTTCCAATGCATCAAAGGCAAAATCATCTTCCAAGAAGTCATCTTCCTGCTTTTTCTTGTGAAAAGACAGTGGCCATTTGGGACATCATCACCATCAACCTTTATTACGGTCCAGAGACCCAACAAATCGTTACAAAGCAATACACAATTCATACAGCCTGGGACATCATGATCTCACGTAATTTCATGCCACAATCCCTTCCCCAAAAAAGCACGTTTCTGGGTATGGTGGCCAAAATCACACATTTGAGGGCACTGTTTTGGGGTAGGAATCATGGTGCAAAATCATGTGAGATCATGGCACCCAAAATGACTGCTAGGATGTCCCGTCGCCCCCGGACATTTGCAGGGTATACAATAATGAAGGAATCAGTTACCCACCTCTAACCAGTTAATCTCCCAGCCTTGAAATCTAAGCCAATAAGTATTCAAATCCTATGATAAAAAAGCAGCAATGATATTCCTGGATCCACGCATGTTTTAGGCCTTGTTGTGATCTTAAATCTTAATAAGCCTAAAGAGTTGTTGTATTTCTTCCACAGCCAGTTTTACTGTAAGCCATTGAACTAGATGTTTCCAAAGAGAACAGCTGGCATTTCTTTTAATAAAAGATTCCCTTTTAGGACTATATTTCCAAACAATATCACAGTAGCCCCATTCACAGGGCTATAGTTAAGGCTGTGTCAATACTTCTCTTATAAACCTTGTTTTGGTTAAAAAAAAAAACTTCATAGCTTAGACATAATTAGCTATGAACTGAAGTAAGCACACCATAAGGATTTTATTTGGCTGTTTGGCATTCCCCAGCCCCACCCCCATCCCAAAATCAATACAGTGAAGGGAAGTTTTTAGTGTGTGGTGTTGTATTGTGCTTTAACTATTTTTTGTTGGGAGTCGC